ATATATTTTTTACTTTCACCTGAATCTTTCACATTATCCTTCTGTATTATTATATTGTGTATATAAAGATTTATTTTTATTGATTAATATTCAGTTCATTTTCTTTTAATCATTCCACAAGGCTAATATACATCCAAACCAAGCACATAGTGGGAAACGGACATTGTTGTAAGATAATCAACTCATCCATAATTGATAACCTCCTAACTACGACAGAAGGAAGAATAACTATCTCCTGTGATTTTCTTTTTTTACTTTCATTTTCAGGTCGACTACTACAGTAGTGATGGTATATATATTTTCTGTGTCGTGTCGATTTCTTTATTTAGTACAAGTGACCTACTACTTACTGGTCGAAGATAATTGTTAGCAGAATATTCATTGTCATGTTCAAAAAGTAAGAAAATAATTCTGCAGCAAGCATAAAACTTTCAGTTTATAATTCCCTACTTACTAGTGTCAGATTTTATTATACAACTCCAGTGTTATCATGTAAATAAACAGTTATTATTGTTCATTTTTTTTTAATTTACGATATATAAAGATTGTAGAGGGCCTTAAGAAAGATATAATACAACGTAAAATTGAACAGAGATTAGAGAAAAAATAATCATAATAGAATTCGAAAACATTGGTAAGATAAGAACAAGAAAGAAAACTGGTTTTGGAGAAAGGTTACAAGGGTAATAAAGACCAACAAGAAGCTGATGTAAACAGAGAAAAACGATGAAGATTAAGCATGTTAAAGACATTTGCATGAACTAAAGAAATATACAATTTATCTCATAAAATATGAGTACATCCTGAAACATTGATTCTTCTATCTCTAAAACGTAGACTAATAAGGCTCCCCACAGATTGCTTTTTCTTTGATATTTGAAGACTGCATATTACAATGATTGTTCTAGGTAAAGATAGTGGAACTATTTCTCATTGTTTTCTCTACAGATTTGGATTTAAAAATTGTTCTTTTTCTTGCCTGATTGCTAATCAAGGCTAAAGAGCCGAATCTTGCCTGCTAATTTACCCATAACCAGGGCGGAGAAAAGGAATAGATACTTCCAATTTGAACTCGATCTGGTGATTCCATTTTCTGTAACGATAAATGTTGTGTCACCTGATAATTCTAATTATTATAATGCTCTGATATTCCATTTGTCAGCGGAATCTATCTTACACATTTATTAAGTTTACTATTCGTTCGTGCATTAAATATTGCTACCATATATGGTCTGCTACCTCGTCTACATTTTTAGAGATTGTTGATAAAATCTAAAGAATCTGCAATATTATCGGTCCTGACCTGATATCTTGTTTCAATCATTCCCGCCATAAATTCCCTATGGCTTTTCTATAAATATTTTTAGGATAATTATTTTGATGAGCTTTCTTCTTTGGTACCTCGACTTCACAAATTTAAGCGCAGTACAAGATTAACAGCTAAGTCTCATAATTTTACTGTTGGAATTATTAGATATAACCGTAAGTTCTATACCAATAGTTTCTTCTCTCACACTTCTCACCTGTGGAATGCTCTTCCGACTTTTTGCTTTCCTGTCAAACCTTCAAAAATTTAGATGTAATGTCAATCGTCATCTCCTGTCTCCTTAAATCATGTTCTTTTATTGTCCTCTCTCTCCTCAATATCATTTTCTCAGGTTCTTTCACTTTCCTTGCGTCTAGTGTCTTTGTCGCCATGCTTCTGGTAAAATTACCGGAAAAACAATAACAATAGGCAACAAGAAGAACACATGACATTCTGAAAATTACGATGAAAGAGTTTCTTCGATTTTGAGCAGTTAAATGATGGATGATGCGATTTAAATGAATGTATTTCTTCGCTAGAGAGAGAGAGAGAAAGAGAGAGAGAGAGAGAGAGAGAGAGTTTATTTGTTTTGCTTGTTTAATGGCATATCGAGTCTTTATGGTTCATTTAATGTCCAAATTTAATTTTCTTGGGAGCTTTGAAGTAGTAAAAATATTATATATGTTATTCTGCTTTCACAATTGAATACATGGTAGATGATACTCAGCTTTTGTGCATATACATGTTTGTGAGGACATAATTATTAGAAGCGGTGATATATATTGAAATTATATTTTGGAATACAGTTTGATTCTTTAATTGTATGATATTATATGGATTAATGTCCTGAAAGACTTCTTTCATGTTGGTTGTTTGGTTGATTTTGTTTAGTGGTATATCAACACCTCTATCGTTTATTTAATGCTCCAATTTAAATATTTTGAACAATTTTATGGCTTCAACTAAATATATTTTGAACGTATTTGCATACCTTCAACTACAGATAAAATGTATTGTTGGTCATTTTGCTATAAATGTATTGTTGGTAATTCAACTATATCTACTATAAAATGTATTGTTGGTCATTTTGCTATAAAATGTATTGTTGATAATTCTACTATAAAATGTATTACTGGTAATTTTTCTATAAATATGAATTTTTGGCAATTTTACTATAAATGTATATTTTTATATTTTCATAATGTTTTTGTTTTTGTTCGGGGGTTCACTATTTACCCATAGCTGGTACCCTAACAGGTGCTGCCATCTCGGGCCAGGGTGGATCTGGGAAAAAAAAACTGAAATTAAAATGTGGTTCCACGCCCCTCAAAACTTCCAATCTCTCGATAGGTGGCCTTGCAGCTGGATGAAGTTTATCATCATACCCAGGACTGGAGAGAGTTTGAATTTGTTGCGTATTCCTATCAGTTTGTAAGGAAAGGTATTACCACTTGTTAAGTCTGAATATTCAAATCGCGTCAGGACCTACCAGCTGTAACGGTAAAGGTAACTGTAACGATATTCGGTTGAAAATTTTCAAAATAAATTAATTCAACGCCTTTATGGATTTTATATATACTTGTATACAGAACTAGGTGCGACAGAGCTGAGAAAAGGAGAGAAAAATTCCATGGTTCACCATGGGGCTAAGAAGTCCTCCTGACGGGGAAACGCGACACATCCTGTCACGACGGCATCTTGTAACGGAAGAGAGAAGAAAAGAGTGTGTTTGTGCTTTTTTCTTTTATGATACTGTATACCACACCACATAAAAAAAGCATTAAAAAAATTTCTAGCATACGAGGTAGGGGAATCCCAAAAGTTCTGCATTCGTCTCTGGTGCCTTTGTCAAGTGACAAACCCGTGAATAAAACATAACTCATTGTCTCATATGAAACCACTTCATCTTTGATAAAAGCAATTCTTTCATGTTGGCTACTCCTCGTTAATTAAGCCAAGTGAAAAAACGAAAAAAAAACAAAAAAAAACAAAAACAGAGACAATAGCAATAATTCTTAAAGGTTAATTTCATGTTAAGTGTTGTATCATTTCATTGAATAATGTTCTGATGGCATACTCATGTAAAACCTGACTCACAGACCCAATGAACAGAACTCAATGAGTAATACACTCTTTTCTTCATCAAGTGGTCAGCTTTGCTCTGCTGAAGTGGGTCGAGGATTTTTGCCTGTGAAAGAAAGAAATATCCCAACTGACCGGCCTTTAGAATTTTCAGTAAATTTAGTAACTGTCTAAGCTAAAATGTAAGAGAACAATTAATCTTGGCATATAGACAGAATTGGAAGTTAAGAAAAAGATAAATTGGTTAAATTTACAATAAAACAGAACACACACACACACACACACACACACACACACACATACACATTTTCCTTCATTTTTTCCGTTGACGTGTTTATAATCCACACTTCAAAGTACGCGAACAAGGAATTGTACAAATGTTGAATTACTTTCACTGAAAAGATGCATGAAGTTACAATAATAATGATAATAATAATGATTAGAACATCTTCCCAACTTATTAAAAGAAAAGAACGTTTTTGTTTCCATCAAATAATGCGCCTCCTATAGGGTGCAACGACCCAAATTTATGATGCAACGATCGAAAGAATCTTGTATGAAAGTTCAGCTGTTAAAGCGAAGTGTAGGGTCACCCAGTTCACAATTGTTTTTTTTTTCTGGTTTTGTATAAATTATCCTAAACAATTTAACATATTAACTGACACGCAGAATAAACAACTTTATATAATAGGTTTGCAGGCTTCTTTCTTGCAGAAAATTCCTTGAATTTTGCGAAATCCCTCTGAAAATTCAAATAAATTCCTAAATAGGCATATGTGTAAAAATACACGAGAATCTTTATACATATTTATGTAGAGATGAACATGAATTTTGTGTGTGTGTGTGTGAGTGTAACTACGTACATATGTGCTGATTATACTTTTCTTTTTAATTTACGAATCAACCTGGATTAAAATTAAGAGGACCACTTTTGAATACAGACAGGTATCCTGATAGTATTACTGTTTATGAACAGATCAAGGTATTAGGCATGCATACATCAAAAAAAAAAAAAAAAAAAAAAAAGATAGAGAGAAGCAATCGGTTTATTAGGGAATTAGGTGACCTGAACAATGTCCTAAAATAGATCTCGTCCCACCCACTGGGTAGGGGACTTCATAGGGAAATGAAAATCAAAGTAGATAAAATGTAGGATAGCTTTTAGTCATTATCGAATATATTACATTGACTCATAAGTTTCCGTTTTAGGTACCCAATGACTAATGAGTCATCCTAATTAACCGACCTTAAATATATCATAACAGATAATGAAAAATGGTTTACAAAAGGCAGTAGATTGACAATGATAAATCTCCACAACCAGATTGGTTGAGTCGTTTTTTGTTTTTTTTTTTTCTACGTCTTATCAACACTTTGCGGATAATTTAAAGCCAGAAAATATTTTTAGATTGTAATAATTTTTTTTGAGATAATAATGGTTTAGTGATACAAATCTTACTAATTAACTCATAGCTGCTGGAAGAAAAGCTGGATTCATAACTTTACCCCAGGGTATTTGCGCGGAAGTGAATAGAAAAACAACGGAATTGGAACACAGCTATCCGACTATCAATTCCGAGACATTATCCATTACACCACCCTCACATTCAAGCTTACAGCACCTGGTATTCCCAAGCGGTCACCCACCTAGGTACTGACGAGGTTCAACGTTGCTTAACATCGGTGATCAGACGAAAATCGGTACTTGGATGTAAGCTCACTTCCAAGACTATGGCAAGAAAGGTACTGTTATTCATGTGGTGGGATCGTCGTGGTATTATCCATTTAAAGTTCTTAAAACGTAATGGAATACTAAATGTACATTTATAGGTTCAGTCGCAGCAACGTGTCCGTATAGGTTTGGTCACAAAGCGTTTTGTGCTCATCAATAGGAAAAAATATTTTTCTTCATGACAACGCAAGGCCACATACAGCAAAAATAACACAGGAAAAAATTTGGAATTCCCGCCATATTTACCTAACCTTGCACTAATTCCGGCGATATTCACCTAACTTTGTACCAACCAACGATTACTTTTTTTATCAGTAGCTGCAAAACGCTTTGATGAGGAAAACTTTCTCTCATGAAGGCCAAATTTAAGTGTTTGTATAAAAATGTTCACATCAAAACATGCGGAATTATACTTGAAAGGTATTGAAGGGCTACCTGATGAGTGGCAAGAAGTCTTTACAAATAATGGTGAATATATAATTGAAATATGTAATTGAATAAAATGTAAGTGTGCTTTATTTAAAAAGAAATGAAGTTGATTAACAGGAATGGAAATTATTTACGACTCAATACATTTGTTATATAAAGGGCTGTGCAAAAGTGAACCGTAAGGTAATATTTAAAACAACTGTCTCTTTTTTTCCAGATAATCAAAACATATTAATTAAACTATATATTCATTAAGAAAAACCTTTATTAAATCAGTTACAACCACTTTAAAATTTTTGATGGGGAAAAGTAAGTGAACACTTACATTTACACTCTGTATTTTTGTTTTACATGGTTGCCAGTGCAAATAATCTTTTGTGCACATACTGCAGTTAAACAACATAACTCGTTGTGTATGAAAGTGTGCAGTTAGAGACTAAATTTAAAAAATATTGATGCAAAGATCAAAATAATTTCCTGAAGCTTTAAAAAATCGCATAGTTGAAACCTATAATGCTGGAAAAGGCTACAAAAATCTATCAAAACGATTTGGAATGCACTTCTCTATAGTGCAACAAATTATTTATAAATGTAAGTCCTTTGGCATGACGGCACAACAATAAAGTGGCCGTCCACGAAAAATAACAACAAGGGCAAGTAAACATCTAGGTTGGCAAGCCCAGGCAAAACCTGCCATGACCTTTGCTCCAATGCTCACTGGCCAATGTCGGAATCAATATGCATACATCTACAGTGCGACGAAATCTGAACAATACCGATATTCATGGAAGAATGCCTAGAAAAGGACACTGTTTACGAAATAGCACAAACATGCTCGCCTCAACTATGGACAGATATATTTATAGATACAAATATTTAAGTAAATGCTCTGTTTATAATAAACAGTATTAAATAACATTTACCGGCCTGAATGTCCGAGAAATTTTCATAGAAAATATTCGTTCTTTGACAGGATTCGAACCTGCATCCTATACGGAACCGTCATTTACGCTGACGTGCCTTACCGATCGGGCCACAAAGAAGCGTTCGGTAGACAAGGTCGAATTTACTGCTTATAATCTTCAATCTTCCATGAATCTCGTACATTCATAACTGCTCTTTAATAAATAAATTGTCGGACTTTGTCCATTTCTTAATATATGACGTCATTTGTTTACATTTGATACGCCAGAGCAGTTATGAATGTACGAGATTCATGGAAGATTGAAGTAAATGTTATTTAATACTGTTTATTATAAACAAAGCATTTACTTAAATACTTGTATCTATAAAAAAGAACGTTAAACATAAAAATGTCTTTAATATATATATATATATATATATATATATATATATATATATATATATATATATATACAAACACGAACGAATTAAGAGCACCCTTGAATAACCTACTGAAAAAAGATGTGAAATGGTATTGGACAGATAAATGTCAAAGTGCTTTCGAAGAAATCAAAAATGTCTTAACATCGGATTTGTCAGTAACTCATTTTGACCCTAAATTAAAGATTGTAGTTGCATCAGATGCAAACAATTTGGATATCGGAGCAGTGATATTACACAAATATGAGGACGGAACAACTAAACCAATAGCTCATGCTTCAAGGTCATTAACTGCAGCTGAAAAAACCTACAGCCAAATTGAAAAGAAAGCATTGGCCATCATATTTGCTATGGAAAAGTTTCATAAATTTATACATGGTAGAGAATTCATACTACAGACAGACCATCGTCCATTATTGTCCATATATGGATCAAAAAGGATGTTCCCTCACATACAGCAAATACACTGCAGCGCTGGGGAATTATCCTATTGAACTATAATTATAAAATGGAATTTCTACCATCCAAAAAATTAAATCATGCAAACGTATTATCTAGATTAATACCAAAATTCTGCGAACCACTTGAGGACACAGTAATTGCAGCGATAATGGCTGAAAATTAAATTAATATATTATACAATACTGTAAGAGAACTGTCCATAACATTGGAGGAAATAAGAATTAAGTCGGAAAAAGACGACTTTATAATGAAAATGAAGAAGAAATTAAAATCTAAATTATTATGCAGCAATGTACTTATGTACGCAGAGAGAGTTGTGATATCAGCATCATTACAAAAACGTATGCTAAAAGAATTTCACATAGGACATCCAGGAATTTCTAGAATGAAATCCTTAATGAGATGTTATACTTATTGGCCAAAAATGGATCAAGATATCGAAAATTTAGTGATATTATGCAGAGGTTGTGCTCTGGCAGCGGTCACCGCCTATCAAATTTCAACCTTGGCCGAAAACCGATATGCCATGGTCCAGAATACATATAGACTTCGCAGTATACTATCTAGTGGTAGTTGATAGTTACACTAAATGGCCAGGAATATTAAAATGTAGAAGACCGACTACCGCGGGAACGATAAATTTCCTATACGAGATTTTTGAAAGGTTCGTTGTTCCTGACTCTATCGCTTCAGATAAATAACGGGACTCAATTCACGTCTAGTGAATTTAAGTTTTTTTGCAAATCATTAGCAATAGAACATATTACAACTGCCCCTTATCACCCAAGAGAGGAGAAGCAGAACGCTTTGTCGATACGTTTAAAAGGGCACTAAAAAAGTTGAGGGAGAGGAGTCAGATGAAGTAATAATGCTAACTATTTCTGATTGTTTACAGAATAACACCAAAACCGAACACCGTGTCTGGAATGTCGCCTGCAGTGTTGATGTTCGCCAGGAAGAATTAAGTCCGTTTTTAATAAGTTATTACCAGAACGTTAGGCGAGAGCATCAAGAAATGACAGACTTGGAGATAAGGTATTTTTAAAATGTATCAACGTGGAAAGAAATTCTGGGAAGATGGCGTTGTAAAAAAAAAACGGATCGGCAAAATGACATACATGGTACAGGGACAAAGGTGGGAACATAAGTGACACCTTAATCAGTTAAAACGCTGATTCACTGATTTAGTAAGTCCACGAAAAGAGGTGCCGATGGAAATATTGTATGACATATTTGACGTACCCACGCCACCAGAAATTATTGAACCAAGGAGGTACAGTAAAAGAAAAAGAACAGCAACAGGACATCTGAATATTGAACCGAAGCTGAAGAAATATAGACTCCAGAAGAAGTCATCTCAAAAGGGAGGTGTTACATAGGAATAAAGTGTTGCTGCCGACACTGTAGTTTGAACATAGATCACCAGACAGCAGATCACAGGCGATCCCATTGCTGAATTAAGTATATCATGTGATCGTAAAGGAAATGCATATATGGGAATTAGCGTGACGTCTAATGGATCATCATTTCTATACTATCCTCTATGCGGATCGCTCTTTCTACACTATCCTCTATATCTGTACTATTTCTCTATACTGATCACTATACGGATTACTATTCGGTGGTTACTTTTTGAGTGAGTATTACCGAGCAAGTGCTATTAGTGCGAGTGTTATTCGAAGGCGTCTGACGCCAGTATTGTCCAACGGCGTTACTATAGTTGTATATGCGATTACAAGGTATCTACTACAACGAGCATTACAAAGTGACAACGAGTATTCGTTGACATTACAAAAGTGTCAACGAGTGTTCGTTGACATCACCAAAATAGCTAAAAGCTTTTTCATTTGTACTTCGAGAATGACTGCGTTCTTTTTCACTTGTTACACTGAGAAGAAATTATCTTTTATATAAAACTAGTTTTATCTTAACAAATCTCACCAGTCACACCAGACTGACATTTCGGTGACTAACTACTAAGACATACGGGTTTGAATACATAAATTTCTGTGTCGTTCGTTAATTCTCAAAATAAAAAAAATGATAGGATAGACAAGCTTGTTCCGTGAAACTCAAAGCTTTACTGTGATACAACCATCGGGAAGAAACCATATGGAAAAAGAAAATAATGTTTAACAGTAATTCGCTTATATTATTTGCACTTAAATTAATTTGCTTTGCAGTTGTTAAAAAGTTTTATTGTATAGACTTACAGATCCTCAGTTTTATTGTTTCTCGGCTCATTCGTTATATAACCTTTTGGTTTACAAGAGAATGAAACTTTTGATTTGTTTTAATTTAATTCAATTTTTGGTAAATTAAGAACATATTTGTTTCTGCAGCAGAAAATAAAGGATCTGTATTATTTATTATGGTTTGACTTGAATAAAAAGGAGTTTGTTTTATTTGGAATGTCAATACACAAAATGGTATGGAGATTTCCCTATATACAATATATTGGTTAGTCAAACGTAACAAAAAGGAGGTGAAATTCAAACTGAAAGAATTTATTTAATTGCAGCAATTTATGAGAAAAGAAGAGAGATATGACACATTCATTTGAGCAACTAAAAAATTAATGACAAAGTGTGATTTACATTAAATATTAAAAGTAAGAAATAAAGAGGTCGTTGGTGAAGGGATACAGGGAAATTCAGGAGGTGCTTTTAATCTTCTGCATTGTTCAGGGTTGATAGGTCAACGTAGTAATGGAAGCATCTCTTGATGAATAAGTGGCCGAG